GTGGAAGATGAGTTATCCGTGTAACTTTCTCACCAAGAAATGCATCCGTTCGCAGTAATCTACTTAATATCGCGGCCAAAAGCAAACAAGCTTCCTTATTGACTAAGAGGCATTTCGGGATTTTTTAGAAATTGTCTCTACTGTAATTTTGATAATGGTTCTTTCGCAAGCTTGTTCTTATCTCTGGTCAATATCCTAATAATCACATTTCGTTTTACTAAACTTAGTTCTACAGCCAGTGTAGAAAGTAATATTCTGTATGTATTGATAAGCTTATTCCTTGGCATAGTTAAGAGGCAATTTAGAGCTTATGTGAGATGTAGTGTAACCACATTTAACACTGCCTTAGTAAACCATACAATTAGAAATCATAATGAATTTCACGCTCAGCCCAAACAGTACCATTTCACAGCACTTCTCATCAGGTCTTGTAACTAAGATCCAGGCGAAGCTTATGAAAACGAAAGCACTCAATCCTCTGATCATGGGAGCACATAATGCTTGCCTGCAGACCTCCATAAAATATTGTGAAAGCCAACCGACCAAAATGACTTTGATAACACACTCAAAGTAGGGCCCATTTCATGTAAGAAGCTGCTAACATATTGGTTCGATTATCTTTCATACTCAAGTAATTAAGTTACAATATAGCATACATTTAAAGGATACTACATAGGCTTCCTCATGTTATACATTGATTGACCCACCTAAGGGAACTCCTGAAATAGTTTAAAAGACGTAGCAGACTAGGATGCTCGGAGTAGTCTGTATCCAATTTTGGTTGCTCTAAGCTAAAAACGGACGGCAACTACGAGGTATGCTATATGTAAAAGCTTATAAAGTGAAATTTCCGCGTTCCATGTAGTAAAATGTCTTTAAAAAAGGTGCCACTCAGTTATTTTTACTTTACCTGATTTTGTCACACTATTCTCACAGTCCTATAGTGTCAGCATCGCGGCATCCAACGCCGTTGGCAAGTCCTATGCTGTAGCGATGGTCACCTTGATCGACGTCAACAATAGCCCACCCCGTGTTTCCTACCCCTCGCAAACTGTCTTGCTGCCTGAGAACACGGCTGTAAACACGGAGTTTGGCAGCCTTAACGTGGCTGATGCTGACATTGGCATCAACGCCGTCTCATCCTACATCATGACGACTCAGGGTTCGGTCCTCACCATGACCTCTTCAGGTGGCTTGTCGGCATCACAAGTAAGCTGGATTCTTGATCATAGAATGAGCCTCGCTTCTCCTAGTCAGCCCAAGTGGCAAACTCGTTTTAAAGAGATTGTTGGTATACGCCCGAGATTCTTTTGTCGAAGAAATCCATCATTATAAACTTTAAGGCAATAAAATATTTTCTCTGTATATTAGACTATTGCACCTTCAGTAGTCCGTAAATTAATGAAGTAAATGCAAATAGGATATTTTTGCTTAATTTGACCACCTTTGGCAGACGTTCTGGTCGCTAGCCGTTAACTTTTGATACTCCAAGAGTGGATCTTCACTCTTGTTCGGCTGTTGTTTTAGGAGCCTGATATATGGTTTTGCCAGTAGAATAATTGCCCTGTTCAGAGAAGTTCACTGGTGTATTTATCCCAATTAGCATACACTTTTAGCTATATTCATACCATAAAAGTTGGACGAGAGGCTTCTTGCTCAAATCCCATGTCTGCCACTCCACACGCCACAACTTCTCCCGGCACTAAAGCCATTCTTTGCCTACTTATGAAGCCGCTTATGCTGGATTTGATGCTCTTTTGTGCCACATGAATTTAAATCAAGTAAATTCAAGATTAGGCTAACTTTTCATTGAAATTCATTGCTTTTTTAACCATAAATTGCTCTCTCAACCAGAATAGACTGTAGTTGCTTTCACAGGGTTCATCAGCATCTCCAAAGGGACACTAACTATGGAAGTGCGTATTCAGAGGGAATCGGGCAAAAATGTTTTTAAAGCCAAAGTAGGCTTCTTGCAATTTACATCTCTGGTGGGTTCCTCTATGTCAACTAGCAAGAAAGTATGTGCCAGTTACGAGGTCTGCCATAGTACCTTCCACTCGGCCTTTAAAAAGCTGTCCCAAAACATCATCAATTTATTGCTTGCTGTTACAAATTCTCGAAAATGTTCGCCTTTATGACGCTAACACTTAAAAACGTCCAACATCCTCAGCAAAAATTTTCCTGTGAGTTCTTAAATAGGAGTCTCTATGCTGCCTTAAAAATGATTCATTTGAAGGATAATTTTTGATGCAATGCGATAACATTTAAATTCATCTGCAACCTTTTTGATTCAACTTTTTATCTGTAAGTCTTACAACTATGAGGCACTCAGCCCGGAGGCCCGGCGTCTTAAGGTTGTCGTTGTGGCAGAAAACAAAGAACAGACGTTTGGTGGAGGTGCTTTGATGAGCGCTACTGGAACTGTGACTGTCAGCATCACCGATGCGAACGAAGTTGCGCCAACTTTCACTGATGGAACGTAAGTAATTTAAAAGTAGTTTTAATTAATCACTGGCATTTCATATTCAAAAAAGCAGCCGGTTTGGCATTAGAAATGAACAAATCAGCCAAACAGCATTGCCTGTCGTTGTTTTAAGAGAGGAAGGAATAAACAAAAGCTTACAAAAATGCAAATCACTGTATACTTTCATTCACTTTAAAGACTCAATAGAATTGCAACAACCTCTACTTCATAATAGAGAGATGCGATTTCATTTAACCGTATGCTAAGTCCGCCAAAAGGATTATTCTACCAAAGGGATGAATGGCACCGATCCTAGTG